GGATTCTTGTCCCGTATGTTGTGTATTTTTGGATAACTATGTTATAAAAAGGCCTTATCACATTAATTCCATTGGTAGAGGATTTTCTCCAATGTGGTTATTTCTTACTTATTGAAAATTGACTGATAGGCAAATATTGGGTATATTAGTAATTGGATAATTTCCTATGCTCCCTGACAGTGGCTGTGCAAGTCTACGAATTAGCACCAGCGGAGGACAGGAATTCACATCATCACAAATGCATGGTTCTTGGGCAATTTGCGAACTCATTTAAAACAAATAGCATTAGAACCAATCCAAAATATTTCACCAGTTTCTTCCAGCATCATGAGGCAGGGAGCTGGAACAACAGGTCATCTCAGCATCCCCACCAATGAATCTTGTCAAAGGAGAACATTCTGCAGTATATGAATCTTACAACAAGGATTCCAGTACTATTAAGATATTCCTATGGATTGTGTAAGTTGCACCACTCAGTTAAGGATGAATTTTTGCATCTGGTATGAGCAGGTGCAAGAAAACTATCATTTAAAGTTAATTTGATCAATAAGCAATTGTAATGAATCTTCATTCATGGCATAGGGATAATGACATGTTGAATCTTAAGCGTTCCATAAACAATATGAATTATCTATGTTTATCTGAAGTTTAGGCTAGAGTCTTTTTATGTCTAGGGTAGTTATGTCTGTTCCCATGTGAAGGAATCAGCAAATCACGTTTCCTGCTGTTTGATTTTCTGAAACTTTTTTTCCTGTACTAAAGTTTTTCAGGGGGATTTCCCCTGTCATATAATCCATATCACTCTGAAAGGGTTCCAAAGCCTTTTCTTCTGCCCTACTAGCACAAACAAACTCTCACGTAATAGTATGTCCTTGTTCCAGTAACACAAAATCATCAATGGTATAGATTGATTCAATTAGCAGCCTCCTCTCTCTTCAAGATTGCCCTATTTTAATCTCTATCCTAGAGGATTTTTAATATCATAACCACCAAAGTTATTTATCTATGCATTCATAAATTCTCCCTTCTGTAGAAATTAATATCTCTATGGATATATATCCTTTCCCTTTATATAACTTGAACAAACATCTTTTCCTATGTATTTAACTTCAATTAAATTCCCTTCTACTTACTTTTTCTAAGCCTATTTCCAGGCTCTTAATTTGCCATATCTGGCCAAGGAATACCAGCATTGCTGTGTTGCCCACAGTCAAAGAACCCAAATGCCTGCTCTGGCATTGACTTTTAAATTGTTCTTTAAAGCATTTTTTTCCATTCACTCTCCATTGTGTAGATATTAATACCTCTATTATTATTTGTTGAGATAGGGTACCTCTCTCTATCTTCATGCCTTTGTTTCTGACATTGGAGATCATAGGCCTGGATTACGTTATTTCATGTAGACTCACAAACACTTAAACAATTACCTCTATATCTCTTTTATCCTGAAAAACATTTTAACAAATCTCATCCAGCTCTCCTTTATCTGATTATAGCTGGCAGGCAGCCTCTTCCATCTACCTTTGTCTTTGCTTTCTGAGAAGCCTGTTTCTTTGGAGAGCACCTCAGAGCTGAAACTCTCTGAGACACTCAGAAACCTTTAAAGAGGGCTCAGAATAAATCCTTATTACTCAGGTTGTCTCAGTCAGCTTTGGAGATTTTGCTTTGTCCCAGCTCATGCCATGAACCTCAGAATTATACATGCCAGTTCAACTCACCTTCTGTTCTAGTTGGGAACCTGAACAACTTGGTGAGGAACCACATGGCTTCAGCAAAACCACCAACTATGCTAAGAATACAATTTTTATTAACTCCTAATCTCAATTTATGGCATGTGTTTACCATTTGAGAATCTCCAAATAATTTTTTTTTCAACAAGAAGCCACAACTTTATTAGTGATAGAAACAGTACAATTTTAAATCAAGCTGTAGTTCCACTTTTCAAACATCAAAAAGTGGGGAAAGAAGAGAAAGAGGGGGGGTGTCTTTGTTGTCAAATAGTTACACTGTTAATTCCATAATAGCATTTACAATATCGTTACTGTTGTTTTTCGGGGCTTGGACAGCCTTTGCTTTGGATACATTTCCCTCGTGACATGACCAATTCTATGTCCTTAACTTCCACACCTGTTTCATCAACCTCCTATTATTCACTCTCCTCCTGGACTGTTGGAGTCTGTTTTCTTGAATGTTTGAAACAGCTTCACCTTGAACTTTGAATTTGTCAGCAGCTGCTAACCGTGCTTGCTGAGACAAATCTTCAATCTTGACTTCCCCAAACACTATGTAGGTATCTGAAGCTGGGCTCTTGTAGACATCCAGCTTTGTGATGACAAAGAGGATACTTTTAGACTTCCGGATAGTGACTCCGGTAGTCCCTGTAACCTGTCGAAGAACCAGTTGGGACATAGCCTTCTTCTCCTTCTTCTCACTCCGATTCTGCTTGGCTTTACTAACAGGTTCTTTATTGATTTCAGCCACTGGCAGCTGGGCTTGTTGTGTGGCTGTCTGTGTGGAATCTTGTTCTTCGAGCTCTGGCAATGATTCATCACTGTCAGACTCTGTTCTGGACCCTGTCTCTAACTGAGGTTGTGGCAACTCCTGCACTGTAGCAGGGACGGTTTCTGTGGCTTCACTGGGCATTTTGTGCAGAGAACAGGGAACCAAGATGGTGGCGGAAAGCTCCAAATAATTTTTAATACTGAGTTCAATCCTAAAGGTGAGATACATTCTGTAGTTAGTTGGTTATTCTGCTCTACTATAGGATGCCTTGCAAATGCTATGGATTCTCAAATAAAAGACAAACACACATAGCTTTATTTAATATGCCTAAATCAGCTGATTGTTTAGGCCACTCCCAAACTTGCACATTGCTAATGCCTCCCCTGTGATACTCCTGAATTATTACTTAGTAAAATCTATATCCCATCTCTGCTATCCCAGATTCAGTTGGAGGAGGGAACATTGGGGACACTCTTTCCAGGCTCTTTCATGGCTAGCACTCTCTCTTTTGCAGCTCTCAAGCCTTCATCCAATTCCTTTACTGGCATACAATCTTCTTTGCTCTCCTTGCTCATAAAAGGAAAGTCCTGCCTGTGTCTTGCTGCCTAGTCATTGGGTGCTGGCAATTTTATATACCAATTAGAACCAGCTTGGGGCAGGGAGTATCAGAGTCTCAAATGAATGACTCTCATGAAATCTGGGAACCAATTTGACACAAGTAGTATTAGAACCAATACACAACAATTAGGAATGAGCAGAAAATAAAACAAAACAAAACTCCACTGCTTAAGTACTGCCTTTTTGTTATCATCCTCCGTTTAACCACATGGTGAAACTTTTGTTTATGCTTCCAGGCATGGGGAAGTTATGGACTTCCCAGTCTAGACCACCATCCTTTACTCATTTTTTGTTCCTGAAAACATAATGACTGTCTCTACCAATGCCTTCTGTTATTGATCTTGTGCTCCTCAAAATATAACACCTGTTCTTTACCACCAAAGAACAAATTGATATGATTGTTTAAACTGTAAAACACACATTCTATAACAGTTGACATGGTCTACATAAGACCCTATCCTTAAATACCGATTGCTGGAAAAATGTAGTTGTAACTTGGCACAGAAGTTTCTGGTGTTCCCTCATTTTTATAATTTTATTTTTTCTTATTCTTTTTCATTTATTGTTCAATCTTTTCTTACAATCCAGATTTTATACCTCTCCTTGTCCATGCTCCAACTCTTGCTCATCCTACTCCTCTACCCCTAATCTCCAAGATGTCCCTATGCACAACCCTCATCCCACTAGTCCGCCCCACACCCTGGGGCCCCAAGTTTCTGGATGGTCACCTGTATCTTCTCTCAGTGAAGACCCAGTAGTCCTCTGCTGTGTATCAGGTGGTTTATGCTACCTGGTTGGTGGTTCAGTGTGTGAGAGATCCCAGGAGTATAGGCTAGTTCATACTGCTTGACTTCCTACATACTCACCCTCTTCCTCAACTTGTTCCAGCTTTTCCCTAATTCAAACTCATGGGTCACCAGTTTCTGTCCATTGATTTGGTGTAAACATCTGCATCTGACTCATTCACCTGCTTACTGGGCCTCTTGGAAGTCAGTCATGACAGTTCTCTGTTTGTAAGCAGACTATAGCATCAGTAATAATGTCAGACATTTGGGCCACCCATTGAGATGGATCTCATTTTGGGCATGTCACTGGACCTCCTTTTGCTCAGGCTCTTCACCTGTCTTGTTCCTGCAGTTCTTTCAGTCATCAATAATTGTGGGTTAACGTTTTGGACTGCAGGATGATAGCTCTATAACATTCTGGCTTACTTGGGGAAATGTGTGTGTTACAAGATACACATTATGTTCAGATTATGTCATGATCCAGCAGCAGCTTCAATACCATAAACTCCTGTCACCTGCATTACCTGAGACTGAGTGGTGTTGGATCTGAGAGGACCCCATACCAGAAATGCTCAACCACATTGTTTACTCTCATAGACTTTCTCTCCATTATGAATACTTTCATGATGACGAAGACTATAAAAATGAACAAAGGCTTGCCCATATTGAATGTATTCATAGGCTTTCCCTTTCATGCTGATGAAAACTTGGGAAATTTGAAAAGGCTTCACACTATTAAATGTAATCATAAATTTCTATGCAGTATGGATTGTTTCATCGTGATAAAGACTATAGAAGTGTGTAAAGGCTTCATCATATTAAACACATTCACAGGATTTCTCTACATTATGTTTTCTTTTGTGCCTTTGAATATGACTGGCATATGAAGGCTTTACCACATTGCTTATATTCATAGAGGTTCTCACCTGTATGTCTTCTTGTATGGATTTTAAGAGGACTGAAATGTACAAAAAAGGCGTTATCCCATAGATGACATTCATAGGGTTTCTCTTGAGTGTGTCTTCTTCTATTTACATGTAGAGTACTGTGACTTGCAAAAGGTTTACCACATTGCTTATATTCATAGTGTTCTCTTCAGTGTGTATCCTTTGATGTACTAGGTGATTCTTTTGTGCAAAGGCTTTACCACATTAGTTACATTCAGAGGATTTCTCTCCAGTACACGTTCTTTTATGTATTTGAAGATGATTGGGACATAGAAGAGCTTCAAAATATTGATGATATTCACAGGGTGTCTCTTCAGTATATGATTCTTTATATACTTGGGGGACATTGCTTTGTGAAAAAAGGCTTAAAACCATATTGCTCACATTCAAAAATCGCTCTCCTGTGTGTGATCTTTTATGATTTTGTTGATGACTGCTTTGAGAAAAAGCTTTACCACATTGGATACACTGAAAGGGATTTGCTCAAATATGTGTTCTTTTATATAAATCAAGACTATTGATTTGGGAAAAAGTTTTAACAGATTGGTTACATTAATATGGTTTCTTTCCTGTATGTGTTTGTTTATGTCTTTGTAGGTCATGCCTTCCTCCAAATTCTTTACCACATTGGTTACATTCATAAGGTTTCTCTCCTGCATGTGTCCTTTTATGATATTTTAGACCACTGCTTCCAGCAAAGGCTTTACCACATTGCTTACATTCATAGGGTTTTTCTCCAGCATGTTTTCTTTTATGATATTTGAGACCACTGCTTCCAGCAAAGGCTTTACCACATTGCTTACATTCATAGGGCTTCTCCCCTGTATGTGTTCTTTTATGAAACTGGAGAACACTACTATGTGCAAAGGCTTTACCACACTGGTTACATTCATAGGGTTTTTCTCCAGTATGCTTTCTTTTATGATATTTGAGACCACTCTTTCCAGCAAAGGCTTTACCACATTGGTTACATTCATAGGGGTTCTCCCCTGTTTTTGTTCTTTTATGAAATTGGAGAACACTGCCATCTGCAAAGGCTTTACCACATTGCTTATATTCATAGGGTTTTTCTGCAGTATGTTTTCTTTTATGATATTCAAGACCACTGCTTCCAGCAAAGGCTTTACCACATTGGTTACATTCATAGGGCTTCTCCCCTGTATGTGTTCTTTTATGACAATGGAGAACACTGCTATAGGCAAAGGCTTTACCACATAGGTTACATTCATAGGGTTTTGCTCCTGTATGTGTTCTTTTATGGTATTCGAGACCATTCCTTCCTGCAAAGGCTTTACCACATTGGTTACATTCATAGGGTTTCTCTCCAGTATGTTTTCTTTTATGACATTCCAGAGTACTGCTTCGTGCAAAGGCTTTACCACATTGGGCACATTCATAGGGTTTCTCTCCTGTATGTGTTCTTTTATGAAATTGGAGAACATTGCTATCTGCAAAGGCTTTACCACATTGGTTACATTCATAAGGTTTTTCTCCAGTATGTTTTCTTTTATGATATTCAAGACCACTGCTTCCAGCAAAGGCTTTACCACATTGGTTACATTCATAGGGCTTCTCCCCTGTATGTGTTCTTTGATGACATCGGAGAACACTGCTATAAGCAAAGGCTTTTCCACATAGGTTACATTCATATGGTTTCTCTCCTGTATGTGTTCTTTTATGATATTCGAGACCACTGCTTACTACAAAGGCTTTACCACATTGGTTACATTCATAGGGTTTCTCTCCTGTATGTGATTTTTTATGATATTGAAGACTACTGCTTCGTGCAAAGGCTTTACCACATTGGTTACATTCATAGGGTTTCTCTCCTGTATGTGTTCTTTTATGAATATGGAGAACACTGCTATGTGCAAAGGCTTTACCACATTGGTTACATTCATAAGGTTTTTCTCCAGTATGTTTTCTTTTGTGATATTCGAGACCACTGCTTCCAGCAAAGGCTTTACCACATTGGTTACATTCATAGGGCTTCTCCCCTGTATGTGTTCTTTTATGACACTGGAGAACACTACTTCCAGCAAAGGCTTTACCACACTGGCTACATTCATAGGGTTTCTCTCCTGTATGTGTTCTTTTATGATATTCGAGACTACTGCTTTGTGCAAAGGCTTTACCACACTGGTTACATTCATAGGGTTTCTCTCCTGTATGTATTCTTTTATGATATTCGAGACCACTGCTTCTTGCAAAGGCTTTACCACAGTGGTTACATTTATACGATTTTTCTTCACTATGAGTTCTTTCATGCCTTTGAGTATGACTCTGATATGCAAAAGCTTTAGCACATTGAGTAATCTCAGAGGGTTGCTCTCCAGTAAAACTTCTTTCAGGCCTGCAAATAAATTGGCACATGTGAAAGCTTTCTCATATTGATTATACTAATGAGTGTTTTTATCTGTATAAACTCATTTACAATTTGCTTAAATTGTAAAGGGTAATCTGATCTTACCATAATAACACATTGTTAACATTCAAATGTATTCTCTTTCATTATTGATTGGTTTACATCTTTAAGGATTCATGGAATGGGAAGAGTGTTGATTACGTGGGTCGCATTTATACTCATTTTTAATAGAGGTTATTTACATATGTGAAGAGACCAGGAAGAACTCAGAGTGTTTACACACTGATTGCATTCATAAATTTTGCTATTATGTGAATAATACTACATTTGGAATATAAACCAATGCTAACAGAAAAATTTCCTACTTCTCTAATTCTCTCTCTCTCTCTCTTTTTTTTTTTTTGGTTTGGTTTGTTTTTTGAGACAGGGTTTCTCTGTGTAGTCCTGGCTGTCCTGGAACTCACTCTGTAGACCAGGCTAGCCTCGAACTCTCAAACTCAGAAATACGCCTGCCTCTGCCTCCCAAGTGCTGGGATTTAAGGCATGCACCACCACCGCCTGGCTCCTAATTCTCATATTTTCAGTAGTTTGAGTTGGTGAATATCCTCAATAATATAGGGAAACTAAATATTTATAAACTTTTAGCACATTTAGAAATCTCTATTCTATGTGGGCAGTACTATATATCTTCTAATTGTTCTGAAAAAGAGAAAGGTATGTTGCTTCTTTCAATATCTCTATGCTCAAATGGCTTGTATCCATCATGACCTATGACTTCTATATTTTAAAAAAAAAAGAATAACAAATGAAAGATTTTCATGTTACATTCACAGAGTTTGACTTTTTTCTGATATTGATGTGGCACAGGGATTAAAGTTTCTCCACAAAACCATGTTTAAATCTCATAAACTGTCCATCTGAATAAATTTAGCAATGTTATTGTAAGTATCTGGTTAAGAATAGATTTACTATTGATTATTTGCTTATTACAAGGTTTTAGACATATACTTATCACCTAATACATGTGTTTCCCTTTTGGAACAGCTAAGCAATATAAGAGTGACAGTCTGGCAGTTCTAGAACATGGTTCTACTGAGCTTGATTCAAATACTGACATATATTGTAAGCCCCTGTTTCTGTGTTTTTGAAAGTAAAGGAAAACCTCGCAAACACAAACTGGATGTTTGTCATCAACATACATGGTCTTATGAGATTTAATAATCATCTATAACCTAAATCACAGCATACTTTACACTACTGTATTTTAAAATTTGTAGCACATATTTAACTTTATTCATAGTCATATTCTTATCAGGTTGCACATGAAAATTACCTTCCATGTCTTCTAGAACTTGAAAAATGTTCACCAATAGTATGATCTTCCCAAATGTAGCCTAAAATATGGTACCAGAGAAAGTAGGTTATATTACTGGAAATTAGACAATATTTAAGTTATCAACTTGAATGAACTTTAGAACCATCTCTGATTCATTCACATCATTCTTCCTCATTCTCTACTAAAATTACAAAAACAAATATTAATAACAAAGAAACAGATGTGCCTACATTTTAAAAGTGAAAAAAAAATCACTGTATTACCTATAGCTGTGAGATTCCTATAGGTCTCCAGCATCACATCTTTGTAAAGACTCTTCTGAGAAGGATCCAGCAAAGCCCACTCTTCCCGAGTGAAGTTCAAATGCACGTCATCATAGGTCACTACATCCTAAAAGTTCCAGTATATATGTACATAAGAAAGCATGATCCCAACAACAGTGTCAGTGTGTACTTCAAAATAAATACTGACTTTTTATCCAATAAGCAAACAGTCTTTAATAGCTGAAGAATAACAAAAACTGAAGTAAATGTAGAAGCAAATAAATGATCTCGGGGATCCTGTTGCCTCTGTATTAAGATGTTGGGTATGAGACCATGTAGCATCCTGCCAGACCTTCCTCACTTTCTGTTCCCTGAGACCCAATACCCAAGGGTGCCCTTAGGACTGCAGTTTCTTCTCACCTGTCCAGGCCTCCTGTAGATACAAAAGACCATTTCCATCTTCTCTTTCCTTCTTACCCCATCTCTGTGTCTGAGCTCTGAACTATGGGCAGAAACCCCCTACTCAACCACAGGTTACTCCTACAGAAGACTAAGCAGTCTGTCCAAAGACCCATCACACTGTTACCCAAGACCAAATTCTCATTGTTGCCCAAAGCTCTGCAACACAATATCAGAGAAACCTTCCTTTGCCCGTTTGCATGTGACCTGTTTTCAAGTTCTCTTCCAAACAACTGAGGGAACTACACCAGGAAAAATGTGAACTTGACCAATGTTACCTGTGCTTGTATACAAATAAAATAAAAACAGATTTCATGACTCCTACAAAAATAACTGATGTGATTCCTAAAATGTTGTATTTCTGACCTTTCAGTTACTACCTGTCTGTCTTCCAAACAGAGAGGCCTGATGGTATAGAGTTGTGTCAGTAAATCTAGGTGATCAGAAAAGTGGTTCATGGATCTGCAGCTCTTCATGACCCCTGGTGATTTCAGGCAAAAGTAGCTCCACTCAAGAATAACAAAACACAATATTGAATAATGTCTTAATATCTGCTTCCTGCCACATGGATTATGTTACAGGATGTGAAATCTGTCTTATCCACCTGCCCAGCACCATACACACCTGACAATCTTCTAAATCTCAGAAGCTCCTTTTTTATTTATTTATTTATTTATTTATTTATTTATTTTATTATGAGTACACTGTAGCTGTCTTCAGACACACCAGAAGAGGGCATCCAATCTCTTTATAGATGGTTGTGAGCCACCATGTGGTTGCTGGGATTTGAACTCAGGACCTCTGGAAGAGCAGTTTGTGCTCTTAACCACTGAGCCATCTCTCCAGCCCCCCAGAAGCTCCTTTTTTAACCAAGAATTGAATTTCTGTGTATCATGTCATTATTACTGGAGGTAATAGAATGGCTAAATAATTCTAGTTAATGTTTCTGAAGTATGATCCCTATCACCTCTTTTCTACTAATTTCTAAATATTTATAAAACTAGTCATAGAAAACTGAATATATAAGGTTCACAGATTCTAGAAATCAAACTTCCAGTTTTGTAATGTCATCCTACTGTACACCAAAAGCAATGCCTGTGTGTACACCCTGGATAGTGACATTTAAGTTTCACATCTTGCCACTCAAAGGCCTACAGACCCTCCCTGGGAATCAACCCTCAGGAAGGGTCAAAGGACAAGGGCCTCTGCTATTATCACTACATGGAGCAACAGAACCACACTCTGAACCATGGTCCCTCATAGTACCAGTAGACCTGACTCCAATACCTCTGCAGACTTGTTCACAAGGGCATGGCTTGTGGTCTTCTGCATAGCTTGTAACACATGCATCTGAGGAAAATCCTGTAAAGAACCTGCATGCTACCTTCCACTAGTGCTCCTGATTGATGGGCCTGCCCAAGTCCCTCATTAGCTAGGAAAACTTAGCTGGGCATCAGGAGAGTAAGTAGCATCTCCTCAACTTGGGGACCACAGAGCAAATTACTCAGACAGCTGAAGTCATCCAAACTCTGCTGTTCTACCCTACATGCAGACATAGCACTAGTCTTGGAAATTTGCAGTTATTAGAATGTTCTAGTTTCCCAGAGCACTTATTTCCCTTGTTAAAGGCACAGGGTCCATTCTTTGCATATTCAATTATACATGCAATGTCCAGTGGAGAAATCTCTGCTTCTTACTGCGGAAGTCCTCAAGCCAAACTAGAATCAAATTCCTAGAGCAATAACAATTAAAAAGAAAAGGTGGCTACGAATTTTAAAGCTAGGAGTGGATAATGGGAGAAAAATGAAAAGAAGAGGAAGAAGAAAAAGAAGAAGAAGAAGGAGAAGGAGGAGGAGGAGGAGGAGGAGGAGGAGGAAAAGAAGAAGAAGAAGAAGGAGAAGGAGAAGGAGAAGGAGAAGGAGAAGGAGAAGGAGAAGGA